AGGGCAGGAAGTATGATAAGGAGTCTTACTAATAATACATGTAAGAACTTTAAGAATAATAGAAGGGTGTCTGGTCCTAAGTGTGGGCTTTATAAATGTACTTTTTTACTACTACTACTACTACTAACTCTAGTATTATAAAGATATTTAAAGAGAAGTAATCTCCAAGTATTTATGCCATAAATGAACAATAGTTATGAGCAAGTGCTTTGTGAAAGGTTTTGCAAATGTTTGAAAGTATTTCTTTCAGTTCACACACACGCAGGACTTTTCCTTTCTACAAATGAGGAAACTCAAGTGCTAAGGTGTTAGATAACATATCTTACTTGGGTCATAAAATTGTCAAATGGCAAAGCAGGTCTCTCTCTTTCTCACACACATACACACACACACACACACAACCACCTTGGGGCATTTACTGCCAAAGCCACCGTCTTTATTGCTCTTCTACTTTCCTTCTAAATATTATTTTATGTAACCTTATTAATCTAATCAAATTAAGATTATTTATTTTTATGATTTCTCTTTGTATTTTACTTCAAAGCAGAAAAGTAAATAATTAAAGACAGATGTGGTTCTAGGGCTGGATTTATCCTCAATACAATGAATTTGTTTCTTTTTTTGGGGGGGGGATACAGGGGATTGAATTTAGGGGCACTCAACTCCTGAGCCACATCACTAGCCCTATTCTCAATTTTATTTAGAGTCAGAGTCTCAATGAGTTGCTTAAGAGCCTCACTTTTGTTGAACCTGGATTTGAACTCACAATCCTCCTGGTGGGATTATAGATAGGCATGTGCCACCGCACCCAGCAAATTTATCTTAATCAGTTAACTATTTTTATTTTTACTTCCATGTCCCAATCACTTTGAGTAATTGGTATACCTGCAATTGAGCAGCAAATGTCAAAAGTAATTGCAAATAGAAAATCACTCCCTTTGCTTAGCACATGTTCTTACTAACTAGTATGGCGAACTTATTGAAAGAGTGATCTCATATCTACTTTTGGGAGATACAAGAACAAGATGCATTTTAAGAGACTGAAGACAGTGTGCATACTATAGGTGAATTGGTAGGTAGTGTCTTTATTATTTTTATTATATAATGGCAACTTCTTTGGGCCTATTGTAACTAGTTTGTTGCTGAAGTTTTCTGTCGGAGCTTTTGCTAGACTGAGTTCCCTGAAGGACAAATAACCCTTTGTCCTCAAGGAGCCTGAGTTACAGGAGTGAAGGACAGAAGTGGGAAAGTTTGACTCTTCCCACCTAGCCATCCTGGTGTCCTACCCAGAAGCAAATCATTTCCTGATTTCTTAAGCATCTTTTGTGTAAATCTCAAAAGAATAAAAAGTTTAAAAGGGTGTTCTGTTACATTGCTTTTTCAAAGCAAAATGTACAGGTGGGTAGAATGAGGTGGGTGTGGACTATAATGGGAAAGTCCGGGATTTTCTTTTCAAAGTGTGCCTATAAACAAGAGAATTTCCTTAAGGGTAAATATGTGACTCACTGAAGAGTAAATATTGCAGGTTCCTGTGACAAAATAACATCCACAGGCTTATGAAGCCTGAATTCACTCCACCCATCCTACTTACCCAACCACAGGATTGCTGTGTTCCCCACAATACTGTATCTGATCTGTCTGACTTTAGGTGATGATGTGGGAGGAGTTCAAAATGTTTCCTTGGGATACTGTTTCATGATCTAAAATCCTGGAAAAAAACTATAAATGTTGTTTTCAACAAAACAGATACAAAGGAAAATTAAAGAGTTTCTTTAAAGTCCAAATTGTCAGAAGCAGTTCTCCAAAATTTTCTTTTTTTKGGGGGTGGGCAGTGTAAGGGATGGAACTCAGGGCCTGATACATGCTAGGCAAGCACTTTACCACTGCGCCACATCCCCAGCCCAGTTCTCCAAAATTTTTTTCTATTTTATTTTTAATATTTTTATTAGTGCATTATTATTACATACAATAGTGGGATTCATTTTTACATAATCAGACATGCATGGAATATAATGTGCTATGTTTCAGTCCCTGGTTGTTCCTTAAAATGGCCATATTGCTATAAGTTACCTTTTTTTATTCTTGTGTCTTGAAAAAAATTTCAAGAATCATGTGGAGATTTAGTATTAGAATTGACTTTGAATATCATTCATCTGATTACCCTGTCAGATGTCTGAATCCCTTCCAGAGAGCTGTAAATACCCCAGACCTAAATAACACTAGCTAGAGATCTGAATTCTAGCCTGTCACCAGAAGAGACCTGAGGTTTCCCTGGAGCAATGTGGGGGATACTGGAGGCTTTATTTCTTTCTTTGGCAGGCAGATCACAGTATTGAATAGTGGTCTAGTTGTCAGCTAAGTCCCCCAGCTTCCCTCATATAAACTTTTTTTTGGGGGGGGGTACCAGGGATTGAATTGGCCACTAAGTCACACCCCAGCCCTATTTTGTATTTTATTTAGAGACAGGGTCTTGCTGAGTTGCTTAGCACCTTGCTTTTGCTGAGGCTGCCTTTGAACTTGTGATCCTCCTGCCTCAGCCCCCCAGCCGCTGGGATTACAGGCATGTGCCGCTGCACCCAACTTCCACATATATCCTTTTAAACCAAGTCTATCTTTCTACATACATGTTGATTTTTAATAATCTTCATTAMTCTGTTGTATAAATAGTCTCCTTTTTCTGGATGATCTAGATTTTATTTCATAAATTTTTGTTAAGGACTATTAACGTCATTATAATTCATGTGAACCATGAAGCTTTTGAAATTTTTAAAGTATTAAGGCACATCATTTTCTGATCTACTGCAGATATTGAGTGCCTCATACATAAGATATTCTTTGTGGATATTCAAATTGAAGTAAACTGAATTTCTTATGTGGACCCAGCAAAGCTCTACCAGAGAAATTCCAGGGAGTTGAAAGATCAGTTGCTGAAGAGTTAAACTCTTCTCACTGGCAAGTGATAACTGAAAAACTTGGAAATTGTTTTGATTGTTACCTATAATGCAACTGGAATCGAGGTCAGCAGTTTGAGGCTTGAATTTTGAGTCCACCTTCTTCAAGCTTATTTGGTGATCACTGTGTAGCAAAGGGCAGCATGGTATGTTGCCTGGGAGGGATTTGAAGCCTGGGCTCTGTGGAATTCTCATTGTCTCTCAGGACACCCCTACCATATTTTCTACAAGTGATGAAGGCCAGCACATGTCGCTGACGAGCTACAATTGTTCTGATTTATTTCATACTTGCTTTGGACACAACTTTAAATCAGATTCAATGTAACTTAATGGTTTCCACATGTACATGATGTTTTCTTGATCATAGGAGTTGCCAACTGTATTTTAAGAAAGAGAACCGRGGGTTGTAAAATTTTGTTCAGCCTGCAACTGAGTTTCACACCTCAGTTTTATAGGTAACAAAACAGAGGACACAAACAAGACATTTCCAGCATGGGTATTCCACATGAAAGAATGGTGATCTAACTTAGAAACTAGGTTCAAAATTCAGTAGGAGTCGCTTACGTTAGAATAAGAATGTTGGCATGCCAATGAAAGTTCTGCAGTTGGACGTGAGCCCACCAAAGAAGTTTCATATTTGATTTCATAGTGTTAGGTTTATCTGGAAAACAAATGGAATAAAAAACAGTTCCAAATTAATGAATAAAATAAAGGTATTGTGTCAGTCTACAACTGAAAAAAAATATATATGCATTTTTTTWAAAAAAGAACAGTTCCATGAAAGTTAAGATGAGCATAGAATTGCAGTGGGCAGATTAGAAGAGGCACAGGACAGCATCCCCTGTGAAGAGCATTCCTGGCTCCCAAATCCTTCATTTGATGAGCATCTTCACTTAAGGTTTGAACAGGGACTTGTTTTTCTCTTAACGTCCCAGAGCTTAAAGGTTCAGTTTATTGCAGTTCCTCTCCCACCCTGTCTTATATTTTAAAGAGACAGCGTGGCAATCTGTGTTTTATTACTCCTTGGATCGATAGGATTTTTATTCATTTTTATTTATTTAATCTTGCTTTCCAGGAATTCATTTTTTGACTACTATTATCACTGTAACTGAGATCACTTTTTTTTTTTTTCAAATTCCAGGAGCAACATATACTATAGAAGTTCACAAACTTCTGATTTGATTTGTTTAGTTTTCCAGTACTTTTTTTTTCTTTATATCTGAAGTAGCGTTGGCAACCTAGCACCTTGTAGCTCTCGGTAGAATTATAAAGATAAAATGCATATCAGAAGACTGGCCAAGAATGTGCCTACTGATATTGATTAGTTGTATTCAGGGTTCAAAGAAAAACACAAGGTTCATCAAGTCAGACCTTTCGTAATACACTTAGGATACTGTCTAATTCCGTGCATTATGCAGTTTGTCTTCGCCATACCTTTCGTTTGTGTGCATGTGCATATTTTTATGGCTTTAGGAGATGGTATGGCTTGAAATGGGAGGGGCTGGGCATGAATAACAGGCTGAATACAGTAGGTGTGCCTAGATTGTGCCAAGATTACTTTGCACAGTGACATTCACCTTTTACTCCCTGTTCCTTTATGTATCTGTTCATTCATTAACAACAATGGAACGCCTATTAAGTTCTTCAAGGAACGGGAGTCCAGTGGGAGGAAGCATGGATGACAACACAGTTCATCAAATGCTGCAGCACAAGGAGGAACAGTATTCTGTGGGTGTCCAGAAGAATGGGAATTTTAGAATGTCTTAAGCCACTTGCTTGTGGAATAGAAATTGATGCTGGGGATCACTGGAGTGTGAACCCTTGGGTCAGGCAGAGTTGAGTTCCATCTCTGCTCCTTCATTTACTCGTTCTGGGATCTTGGGAAGAACTTTCGTGATTTAGTGTTCTGTTGGTGAACTGTGCTAAAAATGATATTTACCTCATAGATGTGTTTAGTTTTTATTACTCTTTTATTCTTTACATACAACACCTGTGTCTTTTTTCTTCCTCAGCCGATGAACTAATTAGACTTTTCTTTCTGCTCAACAGGGTGGTGGTGATTGTCCAGAGATGAGTATTGGAGCCATAAAAATTGCCTTGGAAATTTCTCTTCCTGGCTCCTTCATCTATGTTTTCACTGATGCGCGGTCCAAAGATTACCGGCTCACCCATGAGGTGCTACAGCTTATCCAACAGAAGCAGTCCCAGGTGAGTAGGGATCCCCTCCAGACCCTTCCGAACACAMCACGGAAGGGGCACGTATCCATCCTGTTCTCCCCTGTGTGCCAAATAGCACCAATTACAACTATCTCTCCCCATAAATGAACTCTTTGCATTTAAACCTTAATGTGAATGTGAGATGTGTAGAGAGCATTTGAATGTCTTGTTTCTGAATACAGAGAAGAAGTGATTGGGGAGGAAGGAAGGAAGGTGATTGTTATCTTAAAACTGACACAAATGCAGCCTTGACATAAAAAAGGTCTGGATCTTGTAATGTCGCCTCCTATGTGTAATCTGGCCCATGTTAGTTATTCATTGTATCAGTTCTTGCCATAATTACCAACTGTTTTAATACTTGTGGTTTAAAACAATAAGCATTTATTTCTCAGATGTGAGCAGAGCTCTGTTCATCTAGGCTAGACTCGCCCACTGTGAGTCTGGACGTGTTTGGGTTTGGCCTGTCTAAGTGGGACTAGGGGGTGAATTGGCTTTGCCTCACAGGTTTCCTAGCCTCTTTCTGAGGACAGTAGGTTAGTTTAGTCATGCCCTTCTCATAGGCATGGCAGAAACACTATAGAGATCAAGTGGAAATGCATAAGGCGTTTCGAGTTGAAGTTCAGAACCTGCAGAATATCCCTTTTGTTTCTTGCTTTTGGCCCAAGCGAGACAAGTGACTAAGCTTAGACCCAGAGATGACAAAATAAACTCTACCTCTTTAGTGAAAGGAACTTCAGAATCCTTTGGCAGGGTGAGTGGGTACAGGGAGGGGTGAGGAACTGAGGCTGTTATGCAATCTTGCACAGTCATGGTCTCACATTCATTTCCATTGCTTTTAGCCTGTATTTCTGAAATGTAAATAATTCTGCTCCCATATAGGTTCACTGCTAAACAGAGTGATTAAGAATACCACTTGCCTAGCAATATATTAACACATAATAAGTGCTCAATAAGTATAAAGCCCATTAAACTTTTTTTTTTTTTTTAAACCACAGGTGGTGTTTGTGCTCACTGGAGATTGTGATGACAGGAGCCATATTGGATATAAAGTGTATGAAGAAATCGCCTCTACAAGTTCTGGTCAAGTGTTCCATCTGGACAAAAAACAAGTTAATGAGGTCAGTTCAATAATGTAGGTCTACTTATTGCCAGCTACTTTACCCAACTCTGTTTGTTTGGCCTCATTGATTCCAAAACCTGTTTTAACTAATAGGATTTACTCCTAAACCATACACCAGTCAATAATATCCTTGAACTAATGTGGAGGAACAGATTTATCTAATATTAATTTCTAGATTGCATTATTCGATAGCAACACATTTTTAGATTTAAGCATACATGTATTTAATATTAATTTAGTTTTAATCAGAGATGTTTGTAGTTTTTATTGCTTAATAAGGTCAATTTGTGTTTCTAATGAATGAACTTTGGATAACCAGCAAAGTGAGGCTTGACTAGTTACTGAATTAGGATGTGAAAAAGTTAATTATTGAACAAAATTCTAATGAGGTTTGGCATCTAACATTAAAAGTCAGAACTATAAGTGAGTAAATAGTGATCAAAAATGTTTGGTGGGCTGGGGCTATAACTCAGCTGTAGAGTGCCTGCCTTGCACGTGTGAGGAACTGGGTTTGATCCTTAGCACCACATAACAATAAATAAAGCTATTGTGTAAAACAACAAAATGTTTGGTAATAAAATTTGTAACTCATATTAAGAAAATGCTAGTATTTTCTTAAACGTCTTTGAGGTAGGTCTAATTGTCAAGATTTCCTTCTTCATTATGTTGCCTTGGCCTCGCTCATGATAATATTTTATTTGCCTGTTAATTTATTTATTTGGCTCCCATTGAAGTTTTCAGGAACACACCAGTACAAAGATAAAGTTTTAAATGGACACAATTCACATTTAATTGATGCAGTGACTCTATCTTTACAAGGTTTATTAATTTCATGACAGATTCCCTTGTGTCTTGAATGAAATGGAGTTCTCTTATAGTTGAAGAGTTCTTATTACATCATAGTGGAACTAATAGAATCTAAGTGTTTGATAATAAAATTTATAGTGTCCTTGCAATAAAACCTATAATGTCTTTCCAATGTTAAGGACTTACAAATTCCTAGAGCCAACAGTTTAACAAAAACATTTTTCCCCCAAATATTGAAGTATATAAGCCTAGAGAGTTACTTTAATCTAAAAAGAGTTTTCTTGGAAGAAACGGCTTTTGAGAGATTTATGGTTTGAGTCCATGTTATGTCCCCTTTAGTGACTCAGAAATGCCTGGGCAGGCCTAATGACTACAAGGGGTCCCTTTAGCAGTTAGTATGCATACATTTTTGAATGAGGATTTGGAAACCTGGGAAGATATCAGAAAAGATTTTGGGACTCTTGGGGATTGGGTTTCATGTGTCATCACCTATATCTTAAACAAATGAAGGAAAGGTTGCTGGTCAGAGTTTTTAGCTTTAAATTCTGTAAGACCCTGGGGTATAGTCAGGATCACCAGCAGGAAGTGGGACATAAGAAATTGTGAATTACAACCCTTAGGGTTTGGTGAGGTTCTGGATTGAAAGTGACAATAATGTTCACTGGAGACAGATGGGGTGTTGGAACCAGCAGATGTCATGCCCAGTGGACATGATGGTTCTTAGCAGACAGTACTGGAGAAGAGGTTATAAGACTCATGGCCAACACCTAGGGCTTCTGAAAGAACAGTTGCTTGGACCAGTTGATGAGCGGTCAGACACAACATTGAGATTGGAAGAAGTTAGGTGAAATTGTGAGGAGAACTATAGGACTTTATTAGTAGATGGGTCCCAAAGAAAGAGGAAAAAAACCCATGTGTCCTGTAACTGTGATTCCACTTATTTATACACACCCAGGAAAAATTGTGTCACTAAAAATTAAAAATATTGTCTTCAACTGAGAAAATGATAAGCCTTATAGAGGCACACACCTTATTTATTAGATAAATGGTCTCATGAATAATTTTATAGATCTAGTAAATGTTTCACAATTCTGACAATTGCCATATAATTCATAAGAATAATAATTTATAAAGTTTTGGTACAGAAAATTTTATAGGTGTAGTTAACCCACTGGTAAGTGTTTCTCTTGTGCATCATCAAATGATGTTCTGATCTGTCAGTTTAATTTTGGAAAAATAGGGTTAGAGAAGATCATTGCTAAAATAGTCTATTTTTATAAAACCGAGTTTAATACCAGTGCGGATGGGTCTTGATCTATTTGCCAACCATAGCAATTCCAAACGCTTGCTAAATGATTGAAGAAAGGATGTCTCATTTACTTTGGGCTGATGAGACTCAATGGGAATTTAGCTAGGGTGTCCTGGAGAAATTCTCCTTTTTTATATGTTGTCCCCCATGGGTGTGAATCCCCAATCTGATGCAAGCAACTTGAGACAATTTTGAGAATAGAACAAATACAAGGAAGAGTGAGGAGTTAAGAAAAATCCAGTCTCTGGATTAAGTCATCACTCACTCCTATCCTAATGGTAAGCCTCTAGTTAAGGGAACAATATTGCACAGGCCAATTAGAATTGAGTATTCAAGTTACCTAAAGGTAAACGAATCCTAAATGATAAATCTCTGCATTTTTATGTGACATCTGCTCTGTGAGCCCCAGTTTTCTTGCTTGTAAAATGGAGATGGTAGAATTTCCATTTTAGAAAATGATAACATTAAATGAGATAATGCATGTAAAATGTTCCATAGGAGATCTGATACAGGGTTAAGTACCCAATAAATGTTAAATTGCTTTATAATCCTGGGGGTATTGCTAGTTTGCTTTTAAAGTGGGGGAAACTTTGTTAGAGTGTTACAATGTTTTACCATTTTACAAACATGTGAATAATCTGTAAAATGTTACATGTTTGTTAGAAAACAGAAGTCTAGTGGTAGCTGGGAAATACATCTGAGTGGGATAATCCAGAAAGAGCTGGGCAATTTTCTCTTTGCCTGTTGATGAGAAAAGGTATTATGAAGGCTTACTGGAACTGTAGAGAAGAAATGTTCTTTAAAGAAAGCCACCAGTGTGCAAGATTTTGTTAAGAGGGAGAATTTGGCATTGTCAGTCATTTCTTTTTTCTCAATGTTCTGGATTCTTTTATTATGTAAACATTACAAATTCTAAGGAAAATAAATGCTCTAAGGATATCTACATTTAATAGCTCCAAGAACTGCAGGGACGCCACACATGCACCGAGTCCTTACATTTGACTCGAGAGAGATTTTTTCATGTGCTCTTTCTAAAAGGAAACTATGGAGTGTTATGATTTACCCTCTTAATCTAGTTCATCAATTTCCTCACCTAGTTGGGTATATTTTGAATCGGCTCTCTCTTGAGCTAACTTGAAGTTATTGTTCTTTAAACAATGATTAAGTAGAAGATCCTAGGTATCTTTCATCTTCATTTAACATAAAAGGAAAATCAAAGTGAAGAAATTACTTGGCTCGGCATCAGTGGTCTATAAATCACTGTATGATATTACATTTTGGAAACACAAGTAGAAACTCATCCCAAGGAGGTAACTTACTTCACATTTGAAGACAGAACTAGAACTAAATCATGACAGTACTACTTTCCTCTTTGTTTGAAAATGGAGTAATTATTAGTTGATCCAATTAATTCTTCTTTTATTATAAGAAAGAGTCCAAATTTGAAATCTCAAAAGTTAGAGATCCTCTATCTTTGTGTCAAAGAAACTAACACGAAAGATCCATTGTTAATTTGTCCAGAGTTTCCTCATCCTCTCACCCCACCTCCAGAACTCATGTCCTCCAACAGTCCCTTCAGACCCCAGGAAAGGTCTTCCTTGACATCCCAGCCTGGTGGAGCTGTTCCGGTCTGTTAAATGTTAACATCTCAGTAGATGTGTCCATTTCAGGGGCAGGGTCCCAGGAATTGCCCCACCGAAAACAAATGGCTCACTCAAAGGGACAAAAGAACATTTAATAAATGATAACGAGCCACCATCTAGGCAGAACTGAGGAAGCTCCAAATCCAGCAACAATGGATCCACCCATATCTCCCCTAAGTCTGGAGGGGAGGAGGAGACAGCTCCTAGGGCACTCAGTGAGACCCAGGCTGAGGGCTAAGAACTGCGGCCTTGTAGGCAAACTGAAGCCTTGTCAGGATGGATTCAAGGGTATGCACACCCAACAGGTCCAATTTTTCTGGTACCTTCCATTTCCCCAAATCTAACTAGAAGCCAGAAGCCTGGGGCCCTATCGAGGCAGTCCACAGAAGTTAGCATCCCAAGGCCCAAAGCCAGATGGAAAAGGGTAGACAACAAATCTACGGGGGAAAAACAACAACAAACAACAACAAACCAGTACAAACAGTACTGTGTAGGAGTTGACTTCAGGCTCTGAGACCATGGCTCATATCCTAGTTGTATGACCTTAGACAAGTTACATAATTTTCTGCGACTGTTTCTTTATCTCTAGAATAGGAGAGTGGTTTGAAGACATATCAATAAATACTAACTGCTACTGGAGGAAGTAACAAAGAACCAGGAAGACAAAGTGACAATCTGTGAAAAATTCAGTGACCTGGCAACAGGAAGCCTCACAGATTAGAGATGATGGACTTATTTCTCTTGCTAGTTTTGCACTCATTTTTCCTGAGTTAAGTACTGATATTAGAAAAACTATAAACTTTGTTGGAGTATGAATTTGGCACAGCCCCTTCCTGCAGATACTTTGGCCAACAGCCACGTTTGACTAGAATTCAGACCAAGAGCTCCCTGCATATGGGCTTAATGATGAGAATCATTCAGGGGTTTGAACAATTAGTGATGTGAAATGAGGTATCTGCTGCTTTCCCCCATTCCAAGTTTCACTGCAGACATAATTTCAAAAACATAACCTTGCTGCTGACCTTGAACATAAGTAGAAACGGGTGTTTCCTCTGAAACTTGAAAATGTATCAGAGACAACTCTAATATTCTGAAAGCCACAGGAAATGTATGGGAAACAGTGTGTAAATATTTCCATGTATCCCTTCTTTGAATTTGCCTGTTGAAAATAAAGTGGAAAGCTCAGAGCTCATACATTACAATAAGCTCAGAGCTCAGTCATCCCCAAATGTATATTAT